TCAATAGTGAAATACACATAACATAAAACTCATTTTAGCCATTTTAAAGTATACAATTCAGTGGTATTCATACCTTCATGATATTGTCCAACCATCATCAGCATCCAGTTCTAGATTATTACTCCAGAAGAAAGTTCCATAATTATTAAGCAGTCACTAACCATTTTGTCTTTTCCCCAGCCCCTGGCAACCACTAATCTATTTTCTGTCTCTGAATTTGCCTATACTAGATATTTCATATAAATGGAATCATAAAATATATGGATTTTTTAGTGTCTGGCTTTTTTTTTTTTTTTTTTTTACTTAACATAGTGTTTTTAGTGTTCATGTTGTAGCATGTACCAGTACTTCATTCTCTTTTTTAATAAACAATTTTTATTTTTTAAGAGCTGTTTTAGGTTTATGACTGAAAAATCCAGAGTATTTCCATATCCCTGCTCCCTCTCCCCATAATTTCCTATTAACACTTTGCATTGGTACGGTACATTTGTTACAACAGATGAACCAATAATGATGCATTATTTTCAACTACAGTCTCTAGGTGGGGTCCACATTAGGGTTCACTTTCTGTGTTATACATTCTGTGGGGTTTGATAAATGTTTTACTACTTTTGGTACATTAAGTTACCCTTTTTATTTTTGAAGTCAAATTTATTAGTAGATATGCTGGCTTTGCCTTAAAATATGTTTAATGTTACTCTATTTTGACTTAATGTAATTAAAAATATTTTATTTAGTAAAGTCTGAGGGTTAACTATCCCCCCTTTTTTTCGTCTTCCTTCCTGATGAGTCTAACTTTTTGCTTGTTAGTTTTATGTGCTTGTGTAGGCCCAATGTATAACATATAGGTTTTCCCTAGGAAGATCTCAAGAAAATGTGTTTTTTATCCATCAAATTCTTTCACTATGTATTAAGAAACATGTTTTCTTTAGCTCACCAAATTGGGGATTAATTTACTTTCTCAGTTCCAATGCCAGTTTGAAAAACCATGGGGAAAGAGAATGATTGGTGGCTTAAGACACCCCAATCACTGATGCAGTCACTGTGGCTGATGGATGAATGTTGGACTGGCCCATCAAGGATCCAGTTCCCTGTCACTCCTGATGCATAGGGAGCTGGTTGTAGTCATGCAAAGCATTGTGACTCTCAGAAGAGATGTATAGATTGGATAGATCTCAGTTTAAGGGAGAGGACTGGAGGAAATCAGAAACCAAATTTGTTAACCCCTCTGCAAGACTTTTTTCTCATTGTCAGTATTAGGGCAGTGATATTTTTCTTTTTTGTGTATCCTCATAAAGTAGAAAAGTGGCATATATTAGCTGATCAATAAACATTTATGAAGTAGAGGAATAGATTTGTAAATAGGATATTTATTTAGTATTTTACCTATAGAATACACTGTGCTGGGCTGTAGAGATAAAATGCTTATTAAGGTGTAATTCCTGCCCTAAGATAGTTCTTTATTCTAATACAGTCTCTCTCTTTATTTTTGAATGTCTTATCATTCCCTCATATAGTCTACTCAGAATGGGATTGCCAGAGCAGTCCAGCAATAAATATTTGATGGAGTCAGATGGTGAATTCAAGGTCACTACTTTGTCAGGAACTGTGGGCTACTTGGAGACCCTTCATTGCTTGTTGATTTGCCCATCCTTAGAGATGAGGATATGATGGATGATGTTATCCCTGACATTTCTACAACTGTGATTCCAATAGAACATCAACCTTCACATTTTCTTTCATTGCCCACCTCTAGCCTTTGATCCCCAATCTCTAAGTTTAGAAGGACAAAACCCATTAAAATGAGTAGAGAAGTAAGAGCACCTCGCTGGCTCAGTTGGTGGAGCATGCGACTCTTGATCTCTGAGTCCTGACTTCAGGCCCCACATTGGGCATTGAGCTTACTTAAAACAACAACAACAACAACAACAACTTTTGAGAGCCAGGGAGCCGCCCCCAGGTCACCTGTTGGTCAGCCCGCCTGACCAGTGTGTGCCCTGGTGGCTGCCATGGGAGTGTAGGGGAGACCATCTCCCTGGAGTCGGGTTCACTTTCCCCAAGCATGGTCAAACTTACGTGGTGCACTTCTGGGGATACTTGAAGATGGAAAGAAATTTGATTCTTCCAGAGATAGAAACAAGCTCTTTAGGTTTATGTTAGGTAGGTGATCTGAGGCTGAGAAGAAGGGGTTGCCCACATGAATGTGGGTCAGAGAGCCAAACTGACTCTCTCTCTAGACTACATTTATGGTGCGGTGCCAATGGGCACCCAGTCATCATCCCACCAAATGCCACTCTCCTCTTTGACATGGAGCTTCTGAAACTGGAGTGACAGCAATGGCCTCCTCCCCGAGCTCCCCATTCTTAGATGTGTCATGGAGGGATCTGGTGTGTCCAGATGCACACGTAAATCCTATAGCACTTTTCCTGACTTTCCACTACACTCTTTGTATAAACATGACCCTGACTGAATGTGTTCTGGCACTCAGCTTTGCTCTTTCACTCTCTCCTCCTATGTGTGTTGGCTTAAACTATATGATCTATATCTCAAGTTACTCATTTTATTTTGTTTTTGTTTTGGGGTGAAGGTTCAGTTTTAGTCTTTTGGATCTAGGTTTCCCCTTACATATTAGTAAGATATAAATAGTACAAATAATGGGTTAACTTTATTTTTTAAATTAAAAAAAAAAGATTTTATTTATTTACTTTAGAGAGAGAGAGAGCACACACAATGAGTGAGGAGGGGTAGAGGGAGAGGAAGGCACAGACTCCCCGCTGAGCAGGGAGCCCGATGTGAGGCTCAATCCCAGGACCCTGAGATCATGACCTGAGCCTAAGCAGACACTTTACCAACTGAGCCACCCAGGTGCCCCATGGGTTAACTTTAGGGTAGGAATTAGTGTGGGAGGGGATGCAAGAATCTTTATTTTGTTATTATTTTTTGGATGAAATTTGTGTCTATTATATATTAAACATTTTTGCTGCTGCTCTGCAAAGCCATAGCAGATTTGAGGTGCTGTTGAGGGTTGAATTACTCTCCAAGTTGAGAGATGTTCTTGGGTCAGATTAAAAGCCCTACCTGAAACTGAAGTGGGGAGGGGAAGAACTTTTGCACTGCCCAACCCCAGCCTCACCTTAAACTCTCTGCCTTATGAAAGCAGATCATGCTCACTGAGATGCTGGACACTACAGGTATCTGTCCCCAGGCCAGCAGGGACCTCTGAAGCTTTCTTTGTGGCCTGGTTTTTTATTATTATTATTATTATTATTATTATTAATTATTATTTTCCACCCTGTGGTTTTTCTTTTTTTTTCTTTTTTAAGATTTTATTTATCTATTTGACAGAGACAGTGACAGCAAAAGCAGGAACACAAGCAGCGGGAGTGGGAGAGGGAGAGCAGGCTTCCCTCCGAGGAGGGATCCCAGGACGCTGGGATCATGACCTGAGCCGAAGGCAGACGCTTAACAACTGAGCCACCCAGGCGCGCCACCCTGTGGTTTTTCTAATGAATAATCAGGACTTTTGTAATCTCATAGTTACCCAAGCTCCACTTCCCAAATTTTAAGAACTTTAATCGAAACTTTAAATTGAAGGTGCTGTTCGTAGACACCCAATGAAAGTCCAGCCATCATGACAAACCTTTGGGTGTTGTCTTGAGAAAATGATGCTGGTCATCACAGCTTCAACATCTCCTGGCTTTGATGTTCAGCTCCCCCTGTTGAGCTCAGTTTCCTGGCTTTTCTTCCCCCTTGCACCCCTTTGCTGTCCTGTATGGTGATTTGGTGAGAGAAATTATTGCTGCCTACCCCACTCCTACCTCCCCACACTACATAAGCATTTTGGAGTTTTATGATTGCAATAAAAGTACTTTATGCTGGCTTTTCTAAAAAAAGTGAGTGGAGGAGTGACAGGTGGAGGAATCCCATTGTAGAACAAAATATGAATTTAGTTTCTTCAGGTGAGATACTTAAAAACTCATTTGGAAACCTTTGGAAATTGCTGATTGTTCTGAATATATAACAAAAGTAAAATATCCAAAACGGAACCCATTATCCTTCCTGTTCTATATCATAGTTCCAATCCCATTTGTTCCTATTTTGTGGTTATCTCCATGTAAAGGGTTCTCAGGTCCAGAAATCTCTTCTTATCCACCATGTCCATTTGATTATAGCTATTAATACTTGTCCATTCATTTACCTGTCTCCTGCCTTTATTTTTGCTTGCTTGTTATATAAGTATTCTCTTTCCTGTCAGTAAAGTTAATGTTCTGGGCTCTGGCTTCATTCTTCCTGGGTTCCAATACTGGTTTTACCACTTAGTGTGTCAGTGAAATTTTGCTAAGAAGATACATCTTCCAAGAGAGGTTGATAATGGGATTTAAGGTTTAAAGATCTGTTAATAGTGTAGAAAAATCTAAGTGGATTCTTCTATATCCAGGAAGAGGGGGCTCATTTAACAGAAGAAGCTCATATTTTATATCTTTGAAGGCATAAACATAGTGAAGCCTTAGTTGCACTAAAGGCAAAGAAACCCTCAATAGTGGGAAGAAGATGGTCAGAAAGGAAAAAAAAATGCCAGTGTTAGCAGTGACTTTTTCCATGAAGCCTCCAGATGTTTCTTCATTCTTATTTGAATATTTTTCTCTGAAAGTATAAATTGCAACATCAATTTTTTTTTCATTCACATATTCACAGAGGACACAATTCAGGACTTGCTAACCAGTGAGAATTTGTTAAAAAAAAAGTGTGTGTGTGTGTGTGTGTGTCTTCCCTCACAGAAGCCTGGGGCTTCTGCTCAAATGGTATATAGTTCTACATCAGTCCTCCCCACTGCATGGCAAACTCCAGGTTTCAAGGTCAGTGGACATGAACCTGAAGAAAGGGCCAGCTGAACTATTAACTTTCACAAAACTTGAACACATTTGTGTATCTACAATAGTAGTAACATGCCTTAAGAATTCACTCAACTGTGATTCTTCCCTTCAAACACCACCCCTCCTTCATATTTGATAACAAAAATAGTGGGAAGAGAGATTTTTCTTTTTAAATAGATGCTTAGCTTCTTGAGGGATACCCATGTCATCACTCCTTAAATGAGTTACAGAGCTATTTGGAGAAGAATCAGGACAATTTTTAGTGCAATCTGAAGTTGAGCAGATGGTCACAGATGTGCCAGCACCCCGAAGGCTAAAATAAGGACAGAGGGTCGCATACAAGGTGATTCCAGTAAAGGAATAGATGTGCGACCCATCAACCATGTTGTAAAATGACACATCTCTATCTTCGCAGTCCAAGAAAACTCCTATCCTTTGAGGATGCTGCCTCAGTGAAAGTGACTTTGAGAGGGTGGGAACCTTGACTTCTCCTTTCTTGTATACTATCACCCAGAAATTCTTCTCTGGACATTCTACAAACCACCCATCTCTTATTACTGAATCTGAGCAAACACCCACAGCCCATTCAGTTTCAGGTCCAGCTTCTGTCCCAATATTGACTTCTACCTCCCAGTAATGTCTCCCTGTGTGAAAGTAATTTTGGCCCAGAACATTGAAGACAGCTTCAGATTCCTCTTGTCCTTGGTATACTGAGCCATCACAGTTCTGAGGAACATTTTCCATTAAAGAAACTTGTTTTCTATTCTCAGAGATGATGAGATTGGGATGAGCACTGTCTGGATCCAGAGTAACAGCAACTGTAGGTAGAGGGGGAAAAATAGGTCATTCCGCAGTGGAGACTGGCTGGCCTTAGGAAAGATGCAAATACAGGGAAAGGAGAAAGAAGGAAAATAAGAGGGAGAGCCACAGAAGAGGAGGTAAAACAAGTTATGGTTTGTCCCATGTCCATACACAGGAGATATGTGTGTATATCATAGAAGGCCAAGGCTGGACGAGCTTAAGTAACCATTTGTTCCAGATGGGCTGAGACCATCTAGGCAAGAGCGCTGTCTGCCTGACCTGAAGATTCCCAAAGTCAGGTATTTCAGAATGGGGTCCCTCTAGCCTCCCTCTAATGTCTTCATTTTACTGCTTGCTCTTAATAATAAAGCCCTGTCAGAGTCCAATCACAGCGTACCTACTTTCATTTAAGCTTCTTTGGTATCATTTTCATTTGGTATCATTTACTACATAATTATTAAGTCACCCACTTCTATGTACTTTTATTAGATTTCTAATGGTTGAAATCCTAGGCTCTGTAGTGAGAAAGATAGGCATTTTGATAATCACTTTATCCTTAGTAAGTGCAATCTTGAAGTTACTTTGCTTCTCTCATCCTCAACCTTACCTTCATAATGATATATGCAATTATGAAACCTCAGCATAGGACTATTGTGAGAAGTAAACAAGATAATGTGTAGAGAACTTACAACTATGTCTTGCCCATGATGAACACTTGCCAATTTTTTTTAGCTTTAACATTAATACCAGCAGTAATAGCAGCAATAGGACCAATACCAGCAGTAATTAATCTGTTTCTTCTCAAATCAAACATCTTCAATAGTTAGAATTTCTCTCATAAGAATTTGTATGTGGGGATAGTAGAATGTGCTTTAATTTTTGGAGGATTAAATTAACTAGGAAATATTTGTGGATGCAGGGATATTCAGAGCAAAGCAGCATGCACTAGAAACTGATAATCAACTAATAATTCTGGAAAGATTCTAAGATGGTTTTCCACTTACACTGAGATACAACAAGCTCTTCTCTGTCTCAGGCCAGTGTAACAGACTTCCTTCTGACCGAACTGCTCTTGCAGTGTTAATCAAATGAATAAATCCACCATATCAATTAAGTTTCAGATTAAAAATCAGTTCCTCAGGGAAATTCCTTCAATCCACCATTTTTTCTCTCATGGAAATCTCTTATTCCTTCATAACCTTCACTACAATTTGTACATGTACTTTTCCATGAAGTCAGAGATCGGATCAGCTTTATTTATTTGGCCTTGAACAAATAGTTCTATAAATTAATGCTGAATGAATGAATGATATCAGAAAAGTAAGAAATCTGTTCACATTTCAGCATGAGACTGAGACTGAACTGAAAGCCATGAATGGAAAACCAACCAGGTTTTATCGGGAGTTTATATAAATGTAAGAGTTTCTCATTTGTAGAACAGAGATTATGTGGGACAAAATAATAAAGTCACTCACCTGCTTTGAATTGTTCCTTTCTCCAGTCTAAAAAAAAAAAAAAAATCATATGGGAAAATACATCAAGAATATGTCTTCTCAACTAGTGTGATGTTTTATCCTTATTCCCTTATTTTTTTGGACTCCCACATTTAAAATAAAATTTCCAGAATATAGCACATCTCTGAAAAATGCTCTGGAAGTGCCTCATGAAATCCTGGGGTGCCTGAAGTCCCAAGACAACATCAATTACTCACCAGCATATAAATTTGCTTTTTTCCAGTCTGAAATAAAACAAAGGAATTAGATTTTCCCATTCACAGGATCTTCATTCCAGAGTATTAAATTGCTGCAACCATGTGAAATATGAAGATTTATGATAGTGCTATATTTCTGTATTCAGCACTTTAATGACAATTCTGGGGTATTTGTCTTCTTTAATCTATTCTATTTCTCACATTTTCCACATTCCACTAACATATCTGTGATAAAATATGAGGTTCTGATTCTTTTGGAAGAGAAGAAGATAAACTTTGTGAGAGTGTACTGTAGAGCCTAAAATTTCATGTGCTGCCTGACATCTTTGAACGTCAAAGGGCTCTAAACGCCCGTAAGCTCCCCTGCTCTCACCAGATATCCCTCCACCCAGCAGGAGAAACTCCACACTCAACTAATTTTCCTATCAGTTGAGCCGGTTGAATCCCACCTGGTCTTCAACCTAATGGCCTTCACCTCCCTGTCAGCATGCAAAATTACTCAAACAAGCCAATCACATACTCCCACAGAAACCAGTAGCACCTCACCTTGTGGTTACTAAAAAGCTTGACTCCCTCAGCCCCTGCTGGTTCACTCTGTTCACAAGTGCAACATGTGGTCCTGTGTGGCTTGCGGTGTCCTCCTCCCCCAGGATGTGAGTATAGGTGGTTAATAAACTGCTGTCAAGCTCATATGTCCAGTGTTGGGTGCCATGTGTCTAAACATCTTACCCTATTTAGGGTGGGGAAGCCCTCCTTCACTAGCGAGGTGAACAGGAGATGATCAAAACAGAGGGATGAGATGGTTGGTCCAACTATAACATCAATATTACTCACCTTGCTGATATAACTGCTTCCTTCTGACTGAAAAGGAATAACAACCTGTGAGATGCAAAGTACGTAGCTTCTAGTACATCTACTAGAACAAAGAAAAATGGAACACTTACCAAGCTCTTTCTCAAGCGATTCTAAAAAGGAAAGAAAATAACAAAACATTTTATAGAAAACAAGTCCAAGGTTTATTTTCTAGACTATGGTACCTAAGCCCAGATCCTGAATGCTAATTCCATATACCTAGATCAAGAAATTCATCCTGAGAATTACTACAACCATTTTTTCCTAACTCCCCATGTTTATACCAATGAACTTTCTCTCTCCGCTGGACTCTATTATTATAATATTTTTCTCATAAAGGCCCTTGACTCCATGTCTTACTGGAGGTCTTGAGGTTCTAACTAAGTACACTCATGTCTCTCTGTTCCAACAGATTCCATCCATATGCACAGCTAACAAACCCATAAGTTCACAGATCCCCCCAAGTCTGATTCAGTTTTACCTCTGGCTTCACTTTCCTTCTCTTTTTCCTCCTGGATTTCCTGTACTCTTTTTTTCTCCTGTCGTTCTTTCCAAGCCAAAAACACAACAGCACCCAGGAAAATCCCAAGTATGAAGAAAGTCCCAGCAAATGCTACCTTCCAAGGAGAGGTCCTAGGGAAGAAGGATTCTGATACAGAGGCCCCCAAAACCTGATTAAAAACATCACCGACCAACCCTATCCCATCCCAATTCCTAAACATCCCCTCCTCACACCTATCCTGTCCCCCAAATGAGCAACACTGACCTGGGATAGAAATGGTTTCCACCTGCTCTTGTCCAAAGAAGGGGTTCTTCATGGAGCAGGACACTCTTGTCTTTGAAGTGTCTCTCACAATGAGGGATGCCTCTATTTGAAACAACCCATCATCATCTTGGGTTTCATCCTCAGAGAGAGATGGTATCATCTCTCCCGTTGCATCTGTCCATTTTATCTCAGGCTGGGGAAACCACCCCTTGCCTGTGCATGTCAGCCTTATTCCTTTATCTTCTGGACCCACCATGAAAACATGAGGACCAGAACCCAGACCTGGAAAGGAGAAAGTCATTCATTTGAGACCTGGATGCCTTTGATCCAGAGTCCCTAATTTTACACAGTGTGGGGATATGGACAAAGCACCATCATTCTTGGTGGGAAGAGGGGGTTTCTTTTCTTCTCTCATGAGATAAATGGGTAACTGTGGCTAAATCTCAAGAGATTTGAAGCTGATACTAGACTCCATACTGATGCCTACCACATCTGCTCTACCACATCTGCTCTACACATTTGCAGATATGCAGATAGGCATATCTGCAATTGGCCATAAAAGGAAAAGAGCAGAGTAAATTTTACCAGTGTTAAGTTCTTTCAGGAAAACACCAATATTTCTATATCTGTCCTATATCTATCTATTCCACATACTGAAGTTTTAAGGAAGACTACCTTTCTGTGATTAAATTGAGTCTTCTTGTAGTCACTTCCTTAAACAATCTCATTTTGCATGTTTTCCAAATTTTCTTTCTTCCCCTGAGTAGAGAATATCTAAAAGATGAAGGTAGCCAGGTGAAGTTATTCCATGAAGGAGTCGATCTATTTTTTTTTTTAAGTTTACCACTCTCATTTATTTCTTTTCTCTCCGCTACCTCTCCTCTTCAGCTTTGCACAGGTTGGGTCTACTAGTGGATCCATGTCACCAGCACCCATATTAAAATATTACATTACTAGAATACTAGAAGAATCCATGTCTCTTTGAGAATAATGGCTATCCTGGTTTCTAAGGCTAAATATTATTTTGTCCTGTTAAAACTTAATATCTCATGGTATGGATCCTCTTAGGGCCAGCTCAGTCCTACTTTGATTCCTCAGGTATAGGAAATATATTAGAAATCTCAGAGATCTTGTCTTTTTTTTGGCTAAAAATTATAATGCCACTAATAATAATTTTTACTATCAGATCCTGACCTGCTTGGGAGGGACACACTTGTAAAAAACAGAAAGCAATCTGAAAGACAATCTTCAGAATTGCTGGAGGGAGCTGCCAACTCTCTTGAACAAAGGAAATTAATAAAAGTGAGTAAAACTGGTCATAAGCAAAACAGACTCTTAATTATAGAGAACAAACTGATGGTTACCAGAGGGTTGTGTGTGCTGGGGGGTGGGTGGGTGAAATAGATGAAGGAGATTACCATGATGCACACTGAATAATGTATAGAATTATTAAATCTATATTGTTGAATCACTATATATTGTACACCTGAAACTAATTTAACACTGTATGTTAACTATCTTGAATTAAGATTAAAAAAAACAATAAAAAGGAAGTTAAGAGGAAATAGGAAAAAAAAAAGATATCAAAGAGGAAGAAAAAAAAGAAACTGGTCATGAGCAAAACGCACAGTCAAGGCCTAGGAAGCAAATACTAATAGACAAAAATAGACCTTGTGTCTCCTGGAAGAATATAACAAATGAAGCTCCAAGTTGAAATAAGCAAAAACTATACCTATGTTGTGAAAGAGGAACAGGGCACCTTGGTGACTCAGTCAGTGTCTGCCTTCAGCTCAGGTCATAATCCCAGGTTCCTGGGATCAAGTCTTGCATCAGGCTCCTTGCTCAGTGGGGAGCCTGCTTCTCCCTCTTCCTGCTGTTTCCCCTGCTTGTGTTCTCTCTCTCTCTCTGACAAATGAACAAATAATTATTTAAAAAAGAGAGAGAGAGAGAGAAGAACAGAAAGAGATGCCCTTTCCTGAGCATAGAAGCAGTTGTACTAGGCAAAGTTTAATTGAATGGTAGATAAGTGTAGATATATAATCAACCAACTGCTTCTAAAGGTTGGACTTTATATACATCAGTCAATGAATGGATATGGGAAAGGTACTGAAAAAAATGACATGACTTATGTGAGGTTATGTCTGGAACTGTGAAAAACTATGACTTCCTACTAGGAAGATACTAGAGTGGGATCACACAGTAACATGGTTCAGGAGAGTTTGTCACTCTTTCCTTTAAGACCTAATTGATTTGGATTCTTTTTAATAAAGTTATACATAAAGAAGATGGATAAAAATTGGGAGGAAGGAGCAAGATGGTGGAGGAGTAGGAGACCTAAATTTCGTCTGGTCCCAGGAATTCAACTAGGTAGGGATCAAACCATTCTGAACACCTATGAACTAAGGAGGCGATCAAAGAAAAGAATAGCAGCAACTCTCTGAACATAAAAATGACCACTTTCTGGAAGGTAGGACTGCGGAGAAGTGAATCCTAGGCGATATTCGGGAGGATAGATGGTGGGGGAGGGGGCCTCCGTCAGCCGTTCTGGCAAGTGATAGAGGAGCAGACCACAAAATTGGAACTTTTAGAAGTCTGCTCCGCTGAGGGACGTCACTCCAGTGGCTAAGCGGGGGCTGGAACCCTCACTGGGACAGTGTGGTCTCAGGACCCTCGGGGTCACAGAAAGACTGGGGTGGCCTGAGTGCGGCAGAGCTCCCAGGTGTCAGAGCAGGGAAGCCGGCTGCAGAGACAGAGCTGAGGAGCGGGCTCTCAGCTCAGGGTTGCCATAAACCATGATCCATGGCACAGCTGGGCCACTGCTCCTCCAGCAGGGACCCAACAAGCAGCAGATCCGGGGATACTCCCCTTCCTCCCCCAGGGGAGCAGTGTGGGAGTGCACCGCAGGGATCTGCTGGGTTTGGAGACTCCACATGGGGTTGTGTGACAGAGATAGAAATGCTTGGTCACAGGCCAGGTGAGCACGGAGTGCGGCCGGAAACCAGGGAGACGGGAGTAACTGACTGCTTTTCTCTGGGATTGCACTGAGGAGTGGGGCCCCAAGTTCTCGGCTCCTCCCAGGCAGAGATTGGGAGGCCACCATTTCACTCTCATCCTCCAAGGCTTAAGGGAAAACTTGCAGGGAACAAAAGCTCCTGAGAGCACACCCGAGCAGATTACTTAGCCTGGCCCGGAAAGGGTTGGCAATTCTGCCTCCAACAAAGACATTTGGGAACCACAGCAACAGGCCCCTCCCCCAGACGGTCAGCAAGAACAGCCGGCCAAGAACAAGGTTACGGATCAATGAGAATGGAAGAACTCCAGCACTAGGGGAATACTGCACATAGAATTCATGGCTTTTTTACCATGATTCTTTAGTCTTTCAAAGTTAATTTTTTTCTTTTTTTTTGAATTTTTCTTTTTCCCTTTTTCAACCAACATCTTATCAATCCCTTTTTAAAAAAATCTTTTTATTTTTCGTTTTTAGAGTCAGATTCTATCCCTTCATAGTAGTTAACCTTATTTTTGGTATATATATAGAAGTTGTTCTCTCATTAAAATTTTGGGATACAGTTTCATCTAACAGACCAAAAATACCCCAAATCTTTAGTGTGTGGCTTTGTTCTAGCCTCCTGCCTGATCACATTATCTCCCCCATTTTTTAAAATCCTCTTCTTTCTTTTTTCAACCAACATTTTATGTTATCAATTCCTTTTATAAAATCTTTTATAATTTTCATCTTTACAGTCATATTCCATCCCTTCATCATATTACACCCTTTTTTGTACATATATAAGTTTTGCTTTCTTTAAAATTTTGGGAGGCACTTTCTTCTAACAGACCAAAATACACCCAAAATCTAGTGTGTGGCACTGATCTATGCACCAGCCTGATCATATTTAATCATATTCTGTTTTTTTCTTTTGTTTGTTTGTTTTTGTTTTTATCTTTTTCTTTTTCTTTTTTTTTTCTTTTTCTTCCTTTCCCTTTCTTTTCCCCCAGTTTCAGGTCTCTTCTGATTTGTTTAGTGTCTAATTTCTGGGGACGTTGTTACCCTATCACCATATTGTTTTCTCATTCATCTATTCTCCTCTGGACAAAATGAAAAGATGGAAAAAATTACCTCAAAAAACAGAACAAGAGGTAGTACCAACTGCCAGGGACCTAATCAATACAGACATTAGTAAGATGTCAGAACTAGAGTTCAGAATGATGATTTTAAAGATACTAGCTGGGCTTGAAAAGCATGGAAGATATTAGAGAAACCCTTTCTGGAGATATAAAAGAACTAAAATCTAATCAAGTCAAAATAAAAAAGGCTATTAATGAGGTGCAGTAAAAAATGGAGGCTCTAACTGCTAGGATAAAAGAGGCAGAAGAGAGAATTAGTGACATAGAAGACCAAATGATGGAAAATAAAGAAGTTGAGAAAAAGAGAGATAAACAACTACCAGATCATGAGGGCAAAATTCGAGAGATAACTGATACCATAAGACAAAACAATATTAGAATAACTGGGATCCCAGAAGGAGAAGAAAGAGAGAGAGGAGCAGAAGGTATATTGGAGCAAATTATAGCAGAGAACTTCCCTAATTTGGGGAAGGAAACAGGCATGAAAATCCAGGAGGCACAGAGAAACCACCTCAAAAGTAAACACCCTGACATCTAATAGTAAAACTTACAAGTCTCAGAGACAAAGAGAAAATCCTGAAAGCAGCTTGGGAAAAGAAATATGTAACCTACAATGGTAAAAACATTAGACTGGCAACAGACCTATCCACAGAGACATGGCAGGCCAGAAAAGACTGGCATGATATATTCAGAGCACTAAATGGGAAAAATATAAGGCCAAGAATACTCTATCTAGCTAAGCTGTCACTGAAAATGGAGAGATAAAAAGCTTCCAGGACAAACTAAACCTAAAGGAATTTGCAAACACAAAACCAGCCCTCCAAGAAATATTGAAAGGGGTCCTCTAAGCCAAGAGAGCCTAAAAGCAACATAGACCCGAAAGGAACACAGACAATATCCAGTAACAGTCACCTTACAGGCAATACAATGGCACTAAATTCATCTCTTTCAATAGTTACCCTGAATGTAAATGGGCTAAATGCCCCAATCAAAAGACACAGGCTATCAGATTGGATTA